CAGGTTTTCAACTTTGACCCCTTGGCCCCGGTGACCCCGGGCGGGGCTGGGGTGGGGCCTGCATCAGAGGAGGACATGACCAAGCTGTGCAACCACAGGCGGAAAGCTGTTGCCATGGCAACTCTGTACCGCAGCATGGAGACCACCTGCTCACACTCTTCTCCTGGTGAGTTTTCTGCCACTTTAGAGAAGAATGAGGGAAACCTGGGGGTCTGGAAGGCGGAAGGTGGGTGATCTCTGTGGGAAAGCACAGGGTGGCCTGGGGGGGACTGCTGCTGGGTGACGGGCATCAGCTTGGGGACTCGTGGGAGCTGGGACTGGAGCGGACAAGAGCATTCATGTGGGGACCCACAAGCTGACCCTCCGTTTCTCCTTTATTGCAGGAGAGGGAGCGAGCCCCCAAATGTTCCACACTGTGTCCCCAGGGCCCCCCTCTGTCCGCCCTCCTTGTCGAGTTCCCCCCACAGCTCCTCTTAATGGGGGTCCTGGCTCCCTCCCCCAAGAAGCCCCCTCAGTTCCTCAGTCCTTCCCCCTTGTAGCAGGCCCTGCAGGGCTCTTCCCACCACCACGGCCTCCTGATCCAGTTCCCTCTGGGGGTAGCAGCAGCCCTTGTTTCCTCCCGAGGGGCAATGCTCCCTCCCCAGCCCCACCTCCTCCACCTGCTATCAGCCTCAATGCCCCCTCCTACAACTGGAGAGCGTCTCTCCGGTCCAGCCTGGTGCCCTCCGACCTGGGCTCTCCTCCAGCCCCTCACGCCTCCTCCTCCCCACCTTCAGACTCTCCTCTCTTCCACTGTAGTGATGCCTTAACACCTCCTCCCCTGCCCCCGAGCAATAATCTCCCTGCTCCCCCTGGTCCCTCTGGTCCCCCTGGTCCCGCCACTCAGCCACCAGTGTCTTCAGCCACTATGCACCTGCCCTTGGTCCTGGGGTCCTTGGGAGGGGCCCCCACAGTGGAGGGGCCTGGGGCACCCCCATTCCTTGCTAGCAGCCTACTCTCTGCAGCGGCCAAGGCACAGCATCCCCCGCTGCCCCCTCCCAGCACTTTACAGGGCCGGAGGCCCCGTGCCCAGGCACCCTCAGCTTCCCACTCATCACCCCGCCCCTCGCAGCGTCGTCCTCGCCGGCCCCCAACTGTCTTGCGATTGCTAGAAGGGGGAGGAGCCCCTCCAACCCCTAGACGGAGCCGTCCTCGGGCCCCTGCTCCCGTCCCCCAGGCCTTTCCTCTCCCGGAGCCTTCCCAGCCATCCCATCCTATCCTCCCCTCTGTGCTGTCCCTGCTGGGACTCCCCACCCCCGGCCCTTCCCACTCGGACGGAAGCTTTAACCTTTTGGGGTCAGATGCACACCTTCCTCCTCCCCCAACCCTCTCCTCAGGGAGCCCTCCCCAGCCCAGGCACCCCAGTCAGCCCTCTCTGCCTGGGACCACCAGTGGCAGCCTCAGCCGTGTGCCAGGTAGGGGTTTCTCCGCTTGGCTGTCGTCATCCAGGGCACGGTGGGGGAGGTTGGGAGAGCTCCTTGGAGGTTTGGGGGTTCGTGTTGGGGAGGCTGGGTCTTTGCCTGGAGCTGGATTTCTCTTCTCTTGCAGGTGCCCCTGCCCCACCAGCTGCCTCCAAAGCCCCTGTGGTGCCCAGTCCTGTGCTTCAAAGCCCATCTGATGGGCTGGGGATGGGGGCGGGCCCAGCCTGCCCTCTGCCTCCCTTGGCTGGAGGGGAGGCTTTCCCTTTCCCCAGCCCTGAGCAGGGCCTGGCACTCAGTGGAGCTGGCTTCCCAGGGATGCTGGGGGCCTTGCCTCTCCCTCTGGGTCTGGGACAGCCCCCCCCTTCTCCCTTACTCAGCCACAGTTTATTTGGTGTGCTGGCCGGGGGAGGACAGCCTCCTCCTGAGCCCCTGCTGCCCCCACCAGGGGGACCTGGCCCCCCCTTAGCCCCAGGCGAGCCCGAAGGGCCTTCGCTTCTGGTGGCTTCTTTGCTTTCTCCGCCCCCTTCAGACCTCCTCCCCCCTCCTCCTGCGCCCCCCAGCAACCTTCTTGCTTCTTTTCTGCCCCTGCTGGCCCTGGGCCCCACAGCTGGGGATGGGGAGGGATCTGCAGAGGGCGCCGGGGGTCCAAGTGGGGAGCCATTTTCAGGTTTAGGAGACCTGCCCCCCCTACTATTTCCCCCCCTCTCAGCCCCCCCGACCCTCATAGCTTTAAATTCCGCGCTGCTGGCTGCCAGCCTGGACCCCCCCTCGGGGACACCTCCCCAGGTAAGGCCTAGGGTGTGAGTTGGTGGGGCAGATGAGAAGGCAGTCAGGATGGGAACTCGTCCTTGAGGCCCCTAAGGAAGGTTTCGTCTTGGCTGGGGGTAGGGTGGGTACGGAAGGGAGTCTGTATCTAATAAGCACGGCCTACCTCACTTGAGGCTTCACCATGGCTGTGACCTTCTCCGCAGCCCTGTGTCCTGAGTGCCCCCCAACCTGGACCACCTACCTCCAGTGTCACCACGGCAACTACTGACCCGGGGGCCTCCTCTCTGGGCAAGGCCCCCTCCAACTCAGGGAGACCCCCCCAACTTCTTAGCCCTCTGCTGAGTGCCAGCCTGCTGGGTGAGTGGTAGGACACGCAGAATTGGGAAGAAACTGGGACCGTCTCGTCATCGTCGGGCCGAGGGACTGGGCCAGCTCAGCCTGCCTAGGGCGAGTCCCTGACCCGCGTCTCTCAACAGGTGACCTGTCTTCACTGGCCAGCAGCCCTGGAAGCCTCCCCGGCCTGCTGCAGCCTCCTGGCCCTCTCCTGTCCAGCCAGCTGGGACTGCAGCTCCTCCCTGGGGGGGGAGCGCCTCCCTCCCTGTCAGAGACTTCTAGTCCCCTCGCCTGCCTGCTACAGAGTCTCCAGGTGAGCCAGTGGGGGGCTCTCTGTCAGGAAGAACAGCTTTGTGAAAACTGGGAAGGTTTGCTGAGTACAGACGACGACGACGACTTTGGTTGAAATGGAGATTTTTTTTTTTTGCCAGCAGATCCCTCCAGAGCAGCCAGATGCCCCCTGTCTGCCCCCCGAGAGCCCCGCCTCAGCCCTCGAACCGGAGCCTGCCCGGCCTCCCCTCAGTGCCTTAGCCCCACCCCACGGTTCTCCTGACCCCCCAGTCCCTGAGCTGCTCACTGGGAGGGGGTCAGGAAAACGGGGCCGGAGGGGAGGAGGGGGGCTTAGGGGCATTAATGGTGAGACCAGGCCAGGCAGAGGCCGAAAGCCTGGCAGCCGCCGAGAGCCTGGCCGACTGGCCCTCAAGTGGGGGACACGTGGTGGCTTCAATGGACAAATGGAACGGTCCCCAAGAAGGACCCACCACTGGCAGCATAATGGGGAGCTAACTGAGGGGGGTGCTGAGCCCAAGGATCCACCCCTTTCTGGGCCCCGTTCTGAGGACCTTAAGGTAAGTGCGACGATGTACGGTTCAGCCTCGGCACCCTGGGACCCGCTTCTCACTTCCCCACGTACACTGTCGTCTTTCCTCAGGTGCCCCCAGGGACAGTCAGAAAGTCTCGTCGTGGCCGGAGGAGAAAATACAAGTGAGTGCGAGGCCCACCCCTGTGCCACCTGTCTGTTGGGACTCTAGAAATGTCCACATAGTGGCTTGGTGTCATCTTATTGTTGTGGTGTTGGGGATCAAACCCAGGGCTTTGTGCATGTCAGGCCAGGTGTTCTACCACTGAGCTATATCCCCCCTGGCCCCAAGTAGTGGCTTGGTTTTCAAAAATGGCAGCTATTTGAATATGAATAAGGATATTATGCCTTTACTATCCAAATGTAGACAGTTTCTCACCCAGCCTTCTGAAATTCACCTGGTGCTTGGGAGCTGTTCCTGATCATCTGTACCCTTATTGCAGCCCTGCCCGGAACAGCAGTAGCTCCCGCCAGGACGTTACCTTGGAACCCAGTCCTACCACCCGAGTAAGTGTGGGCTTGGGTGGGTGTGGGCTTAGAGGCCGGAGGAGCGAGCCAAGAGGGAGAAGAGGACTCCTGTTACCTTCGCTAATGGTCACTTCTCTCGCACAGGCGGCTGTCCCTCTGCCTCCCCGGGCCCGCCCTGGACGTCCTGCCAAAAATAAGAGGAGGAAACTGGCCCCGTAGCAGCCATACCTGGAGCTGGATCTGACCCTGCCTGGGGAGAGCTGAGTGCTGAGCCTTGGGAGCCCCTGCCGGCCACGCGCACCTGTGGACAGTGGGTGGGGGCACAATTCCCCACTCAGAGCACAAATGCAACCCCTTCCCCTACAAATCCCATCCTGAGCCATTGCAGGGGGTAGGGAAGCTCCCCCGTCCCCCCCAAAGCCATGTCACTGAAGAGGCCTGGGGGGGGTGGTGTATGGCCCTCTCCCCATCAGGCGCTAAGGGGAACACCCCTTCCCCAGGTCTTTTATTTGTTTAAGTTATTTTTGCACAAATGACTCTTTTATATTTAATTGGACTTCATTGCCTCCCTTCTTAAAGCCAGCAGGCTCAGTTTACAAGCCTGTGAGCTACTGTTGGCTGCTGCCCTCCTTCCCAGTGAAAGGTACAAAGCAATAAGCATCATGCATCTTCCCTCGCCCTCTAGCACCCCTCTGCCTCTGGCTCAGGTTGCTCAAAGCACAGATCCCCTCTTACCCCTGACCCCAGGATTGAAACACATAGCCTCATTTCAAAGTGTAGCCAGGTTCCCTCTGCTTTCCTCTGGGATATAAAAAGGGGGTAAGGGGGCACAGAGGACCTTGTGGATCTCTCCTCCCATACACACTACACTGCCCCTTCTCCCCCGTCAAAACGCTCAGAGACATGCGATGATGCGACTGAGGATTATGCAACGTGGTCCAACCGGAGCGGCCAGCATGACCAGCTGTCCAGGGGCTGCCTCCTGCCTTTTTTTGTAAAGACAAGACCCTTGGGAGTTTTAATTCTGTTTTGTACTTGCCCTGTGGGGCCTCCACTGCTTTTCTATGGGAGACACTCTTAATTTAACAGATGAGAATATTTTGAAACTCTGGTTCTGGCTCTGTATCATTTTTATTTAGTTCTTTGGTAAGAACAGATTACAACTGAAATAGTCTCATCATAGTGTGGCTTGGACTGTTATGCTCTGCATGTCTGTCTCAGTGCTTCCTCTTTGAAACCCAGGAAACAGCAGAGGCTACACAGTACAACAGCATTTAATGGTCAGAAACAGTTGTACAGTATCCTAGTGGGCCACAGAAGCTGTTAGAGGACAGGATCCGGTCCTCCCTCACACCAGGCAAAGCAGTCATGGGACAGGAGCTGGCCTGTGGCTGGGCCTGAGGACAGCCTCCCATCTAACAGCCCCAGCTACCACTCGAGTCGTCAGGGGAGGGGTCTACACCCCACATGCAAGACCCCTCCCTTGGTCAAGTGGGATGGGGCTGGGAGTTATGGTGAAGGGGAAGCCCCGTGGAAGCCTCTCACAGAGCTCGGGCACGGGTTACCCTGTTCTCAGCTCTCCACACGCTCACTTCCCCAGCCTCCTCATCCGCTCATCAATGCTGGCAAAATTCCCCTCAACCGTGGCCAAGTTCTCACGCATAGTTGTCTGCACCTGCAAAGGGGAAGACAGTGGAGATGAAGAGGCCCAGAAGAAATTCTCTTTAAAGGAAAAAGAAACAGCAGCTAAGACAGATCTCAGTTGGTAGAGGGCTTGCCTAGCAAGCACAGACCTGGCCCGGTGGCCCATGTTTATAAGCCCAGCACTTGGGAAGCAGAGGCAGGAGGATTTCTTGAGTTCGAGGCCAGCCTGGTCGACAGAGCGAGTTGCGGGTCACAATAAAAGAAACAAATGGAGCCACAGCTTTGGCGCTGGCTTTGAGAGGGTGGGTGGGTGGATGGGTGGAGGGAACGTTTGTAGCAGCAGTTTCCACACACTCCTCGGAGTACTATGGACTTAGGTCAGGGTCTGCGTGACCAAGAACTCCTATTCACCTGCCTTCAGAACTGCTGACTATGGAAGGGTAATCGACAAGGAAAACTGATGGAATCAAGTTTTCACAGTTCAGAATTTTAGGAAGCTACAAGAAAAATTACAAAATACTTTATTTATTTTGTTTGATACAGGGTCTCTCTCTACATAGCCCTTACAGTCCTGGAACTAGCTATGTAGCCCAGGCTAGCCTCAAACTCAAAGACCCTCTTCCCCTGCCTCCTGAGTACTAGGATTAAAGGTGTGCACCTGGCTTTTTCTTTTCTCCATTTATTTCATTTATTCTGAGACTAGGTTTCATGTAACTGTGACTGGCCTGGAACTCACTATGGTGACCAGTCTGAACTCAAGAAATGGCTGCATCTGCCTTGGAAGTATTGGGATTAAAGGCTTTCACAGTCAAGCACGTGGCGCATTTCTGTGACCCCAGCACTTGGGAAGAAGGTGAAGGAGGACTGCCACAACTCTGGGGCCAGCCTGGTCTACAAAACAAGTTTCAGGCCAGCCAGAATGAGACTCGGTCTGACATCCCCCCACCTTCTGCCACAAAGCCCAAGGTCAGAGAGAAAGGTTAGATTGGGCACAAAGGTCCTACAACTATGAACACAGAATGACAGTCACAGCCCTAGACAAAACCCTGCGAGGGAGGGCTGGAGGACCTCTGGGGTCTGCGACGGGACAGTGGCGACGGGAGCAGAAGACTGACGCACCTGGCTCAGGAGAGCGGTGTTGTCCTTAAGGGAGGCGGCGATCATCTGCTGCGTGGTGTCCAGGTGTGTCAGGAGCTGACCAAACTGCATAGCTACAAAAGAGGAGAGGCAGGGCTGAAAGCAGATCCACGGGGACGCGGACAACAGGCCCCACGCCTAGGGACCAGCCTCACACCTTGCTCATGGAGCTGCTTGATGGTGACGAGTCTCTGCACCAGCTCGGGAAGGGTAGAGGCGATGGGGCTCCAGCGCTGTATGGTTTCATAAAGCTGATGCACCTGAAAGAACATGTCGGCCCAGGAAGGACGGCTCAGGCTGCAGACCAGCGCCCTGCCTTTCTCTCACACCCAGAAGACCCGAACCTCAGCCTCTGCACTCAGAGGATCCCGGGGGAGCACAGGGGCAGAGATGGGAGGCTCTTCCTGACCTTGCTCTGCGTGTCTGCGTCCTCCACAGAGGCCTTGTGCTTGGCGATCTCATTCACCTTTCCCAGGACACTCTGAAAGCAAAGGTGTTAAGGGTGAGAGGGCACCCAGGGCTTCCCAAGTCCCAGGCCACTCAGGACCCGAGAGGCACTCCGCTTAGTACCCACTCCGCTTAGTACCTGCAGCCGGGCCTCTACTTGGTCCAGAACTGCGAGGTCCAGGGCGCTCACCTTGGCCTGCAACAGTTCTACAGTTTCCTAGAGTGTGGGGGAAGGAAGGGTTTGGACAAGTGTCACCAGCAAAGAACCAGACTAGAAAGAGGTCGTTTACATTGCCCTGGAGTTAATGATGTCCCACTCTACCCAAAGTAACTGCCACATGAAACCCACTCCCTAGCTAACCTCCCTTTCACACTCACCATGAGACAGGCTCCCTGCAGACCTGCAGAAAGGGGATTCTGATGGGAAACGGATGAAGGAGAGAAATCAGTGGTCTTCGTACCTCCACAGGATTGACCACCTGGCACCCACTAACCCACCCCGCCCAGATGCTGGGGAGCACTGGACCTGAGAGCTCAGGGTGTGGCTGAGCACAGGCGAGCCCTGACCTGAGCATCCTGGTCACAGCGGACAGTGGCCTCCAGCTCCGTCAGGCGCTTCTCAAGTTCTGCAACCTACAGGGCAGGAGGAGGTGAGGTTTGCCACCCCCACCCCCGCTCTCCCGTTACGAGGGACTCTTTTCCTGGAACACATCCCTAGCCACATCTTAAGTTTAAATTCCAATTAGATGGAGCACTTGGGAGGTCGAGGCAGGAGGATCTGGAGTTCAGAGCCAGCCTAAGCTACATCTTGAGTCCAAACTAGCTTAGACTACAGGAAACCCTGCCTCAAAAAACAGACATGCAAGGGAGACGAGGACAGCGAGACCCCAGGGGAGTCAAGGCCTTCCCAGCAGCACCCGTCCCCAGGCCTGATCCTCCGAAAGGACACTCACTTTGGCAGCTTGTGAGAACTTGTCCTGCTCAGGCCGCGAGTGGAGCTCGTAGGTGACGAGGCTGCTCTCTGGGGGGGCCCCGCCTGTGGTCCTTCCCCCTGGAGCCCCCTTGCTGCTCCTGGTTGCTTCCAGCTGCAGCAGTAGACGCCTGGGTCGCGAGAACAAAGCAGCATGAGCTGGGGTGAGGACACAGGACGGAGAGGCTGCCGCCCGACTTGGCGCTGCTGTCCCCGAGGAGGGCACTCACTTAGCCAGGGCTCCGTCCGGGTCAGTGAGGTTGATGGCAGCATCGGGTCCCAGCAGCTTCTCCAGGTGGGAGGCGACCAGCTGCTGCTTAAGGGCAGCCAGCTGCTTGGCCAGAACCACGGGGGTCAGCTTCTCCTCGGTGGCTGCCTCCTTCACTGTGGTCTGACGGACAAGAGGTGGGCAGTGAGGGTGGCGGGAATGCAGCCAGAGAAGAGCACGCCCTCAAGGAACGCATGGCCAGTGTTGTGACTGTGTGTGTGTCTGTGTAGTTACAGATGCTGTGAGGACCCGGTGGGGGCTTCGAACAGAGCCTGGGTCCTCTGAGGAGCAGCCTGTGCTCAGTCTCTCCGATCCCCGCACATCCCCAGGACGGAGTCTACAACAGCAGACTAGGAAAACTGCTTTAAATGTTCTGTGCACTGGTGGTTTCCCTGCATGTGTCTACGTGAGGGTGCTGGAACCTCTGGAACTGGACCCACACATAGTTAGCAGCTGCCATGTGGGTGCTGGGAATCAAACCCAGGTCCTCTGGGAGAGCAGCCAGTGCTCTAACCGCTGAGCCATGTCTTCTGCCCCCAGCAGACTGATTCAACAGCACTAAACACAGACTTGCAGCCCCACACTCTGAGGGCAGAGCTGGCAGAGAGGCCGGTAGTTACCTTGATCCTCTCCACCTCCGTCGTCAGCTCCTGCACTTCGTGCAGCAGTCGCTGGTACTTCTGCTGAGGCGTCTCCTTCACCCCCAGACCCTCTCCAAGCTACAGAGAGAGAGAGAGAGAGCACAGAAGGTGTCACAGCTCCCATGACAGGGAGCCTCGAGAATTTGTCCAAATCTCGGACCTAAGTCGTAGGAATCTCTCCATCTCCTGAATCCTCAGCGCCCTAGGACAGAAGAGAAGGAGACAGCCAGAGGCCTGGAGACTCCGGGGCAGCAGCGGGGGCAGAAACCCCCAACTGTATCCTGCCTGGCTCCTCAGGAAATCAACCAGATGAACCCAGAACAAGACTATCTCCCCAAGCTCAGCACTGGGAGCACTGGCCGCTCTCACAGGAGGCCTGAGTTCAGTCCCCAGCACCCACATGTGGCTCACAACCGTCTGTAACCCTCTTCCTAAGGGATCTGATATTCTCTTCTGGTCTCTCCAGACATCAGGCACACGCATGGTGCACATACGTACATGCAGGCCAACACTCACGCATACAAAATAAAAATAAATAAACCGTAAAAAACAAAACCGAACACCCCTCACTCCCCAGCTGCATGCCTGCTGTGAGCTCACCACCCGCCCATCCACACACAAACCATCTCATAGTCTCCAGACTCATATCCCGTCCTCTTGGTTTTTCCAATGCGATCTGAGAAATCTGCCAAGAAAAGAAGGCGAGACTGAGTGGCCTGGCCTAGGCTCCCTGCAGTCACACCACCGAGTGCCAGGACAGGAAACCCTGGTGCTGTTCTCCAGTACTCCCACCCACCGCAGCCCAACCTTACCGAGTCCCTTTGTTCCCACTCTCTTGTCCTTGAACTTGTCATAGGCAGCGTTGGGGTTGACAATGATGTGCTCCACACTCGTGCTGGTCAGCTCCTCCTGAGGGAACAGGAGCCTAGGTCAGGGCAGCCCCATTCCCACCCTAACATTTCACTGTCCCGTAAAATCACATAAACCCCCAAGCTACTAAGGCACTGGGCCCTATATTCCAAGGGGAGGTACGAGTGGTTCCATTCCAGGCTGCCCACACAGGCTCAGGCCAGGAAGAGAAGCTTCCTGGTGAAGCTGGCCCCTCGGCAGTATAAATATTAACGCCCTGGTTGAGCTGGGAAAGAGGCAGCGTGACCCTCACCCCTCTGCGCAGACACCTCCCTCTCTCAGCCTCCCGGTGCCTGGCACACACCATGCACTCAGGGAGAGACACCGTCCTGACCTCTCTTAACTGCCTCCCCCCAGACACAAGTCTCCTTCCCTGGCTGAGCAAGTCCACAGCAAGCTGACTCCCCATCCTTGCTGGAAGGGAGGAAGGAAGGCCTCCAGCGAGGCCGATAATCTGAGTGTAAAGAGCAGGCTTCAGTCTTGCTGAAGGTAAGCGCCAGCTCTCAGATGTAAAAGGAGGTTGGCAGAGAGTGTGCCTAGAAGCCTGGTTCCTGGTTCCCGTAGGGTCGGACAGCTCAGGGCGCAGCAGCAAGGCTCGGCGGGTTTCTAAGGGACACCTTGCAGGTAACGCACATGAGCTGCTGCTTCCCTGGAACACCTCAGGGAAGGGCCACACGACACGGAGAGTCCGGCCCTCTCACAGATGTCTGCTCTTGTCCCTGAGCTCTCCGCTGCACTCGGGGAGGGGCTGGCGGAGGGGAAACAGTGCCCCAGAACTGAGGTAGAGGCTCCCAATAATTACATCAAGACAGCACTCAGGATGCAGCTCCCTGCTCCAACCAGGGGAGGCCACTAGGGTGCCGAAGGGAGGGAGGGGCCCAGCAGTGCTCTTTTTTGGTTAGCGTTAAACCTCTCTACTGCACAGCAGGAAGGCGAGGCCGGTCCTCAGTCCGGAACCCAGGCAATGACTCTCCACTCGAGCTGCACAGTAGAGGTACTTAGAGAGCCGTTCCCTCTTCCAGCACCATCTTAGGTGCTCATTTAAATGAACTGTTCCGGGGTGAGGCTAGCTGCCCAGGCAGTCCGATCTGCATCCAGACAGAAGCTCTGCCTGTGTGTGGGTATGTGGGGGGCAGGGAGGAGGAGAAACAGGACAGGAGAGCAGGCAGCAGCCAGAGGGAGGCTCCATCCTTCCCTCCACTCTGAGTCACAGAAGGAGCCGAGTGGGCGGCAGCTTTAAAGACAGGACGGGAGAAGGGTGACTGGGAAGGAAGCAGCAGCTCCTTCTCCCTTCTCTTCAGGAGTCTCTCGCGAAGGGAAAACAGGAGGGCTCAGGGCCCCGTGCAAGCCCTAGGGGAGGAGACCTGGGAGCCCCAGCCGCCCTCTTGGCCTCTGAGGCCCGGGTGCCGAGCAGCTGTGTGGTCTCTGGTCTCCAGACTGTCTGAGGCCACCAGCTCCAGCAAGGGAGGCCCCTCCCGTGAAGCAGACTCCTGGGAGCACACGGCCTCTCTCCACAAAAGCCAACAAGGCAGCAATGTCCTTTTTAGACAAGCACAGAGGCACGTGCTTGTGATCCCGGCACCCAGGAAGATAACCAACTCCAGCTAGACTAGAGAATGGTACAGCAGGAGCCTGTCTCAAAAAATAAAAATAATGCCAGGATTAAAGGTGGCGCACACCTTTAATCCCAGCACTCAGGAGGCAGAGGCAGGTGGATTTCTGTGAGTTCCAGGACATCCAGAGCTACACAGTGAGACCCTGTCTCAAAATAAATGAATTAATAAAGTAAAAAGAAAAGCTGGGCCTGGTGGCTCACGCTGTAATCCCAGTACTTGGGAGGCTCAGGAAGGGGGGGGTGAGTTCCAGGCCAGCCAGGGTCACAAAACAAGACTCTGCTCAAAAACCAAAACCAGACCAAAAAATTCTTAAAAAAAAGATGGCCAGATGTGGTGGCACATGCCCTTAATTCCAGCATCTGGGAGGCAGAGTCAGGTGATCTCTGTGACTTCCAGGTCAGGCTAGTCTACACAGTGAGACCCCATCTTAATTTAAAAACGGGAGGAATGGAAGGCTGATGTAACTGATGGCAGAGTACCAACCTACCGTGCTCAAGCCTGAGTCTGACCTCTGGTATCACATATAGGTAAAAGAAAAGAGAGAAAAAAAGAAAAAGGTAGGGGAGGCAAAACCTGGAGAATAAGGACAGTCAAATCACAGCCCACATGCACTCAGCCCTCACAGATGGATGCTCTGCAGGGGAACCTACGTTCTGACTTCTGCTCTTAAGCAGGGGAAGACGGGAGCAGCCAAGGGTCAATACTAAGGAGGAAAGTTTCAGTGGTTCTGAGCGATGTTCTGCTGCAGAAGCAAGGCCTGGGCAGGAGGGCTACCCAATGCTGCATCTTCTCAACATCTCAACATCTGGAGCAGTGGCCCCAGCAGGGTCAGGATGGCTGCACATGCTGGTCTTCAGATAGCACCTAGTCCACCAGTATCTCAAAGATCTGCCACACCACCACAGTGACTTGCGAGACAGGAAAGGGTGCCGGGAATGGGGCAGACTAGGAAGTCCCAAGATTCAATGGAGACAGAAGGACAGAGAACAACTGCCCACCCCAGCACACCCCGTTAGAAAGCAGACCAAAGGTAGGGCTTCTTACCAGCTCCTTGTGGGTTCCCCAGAGGTGAGAAAATCAAGAGTTAAAAAGGAAAAGGTGTGGGGGAATAGGGATGAGGGAGGGAAAAAAAAAAGACAAAATTGTTATTAGCAATTGTCACATGCACTACATGACAGTCTTCAAACACTGCACCACAGGGCCCCAGGGGTGCCTAGCAAAATTTGGGGGCCAAGAATTTTAGCTGAGGTCGGAATATGCCCCAAGAGAAAGAAGACCATGAGACCCTTTCCTCTCTGGTGGTGAAGATGTCATGAGGCTTAGCCATTCAGCAGTGGTCATGGAGGAGTGTTGGGGCATGAGGAGTTAGATGTCACAAGCTGGTGCAGAGCAGGAAAAGTGCAGGAAGAGGAGGCCCAAGTGGCAGGGAGGCTGCAGAAATGGCAGGGTGTGAAGCAGAGGATGTGGAGATGCTGAGGGCCTGTCACTGACTGAGGGCCCATTAATTCCCAAGGGGGGGTCTCCCTCACTAGTTTACAGGGTTGGAGCCTGCTTTCTCTAGGTGACTGACTGGTACTCATTCTGTGACAGCTCTGTCACAGGGGGACTCTGCCACTATTCGATAGCACAAGAGCCCAGAGGATCCCGAGATCCACAGCCACCAGCCCTGACCACAAGACTCACAGAGCTGGACATGGAGAAGGAGGAATGCACTTCAAAGAAGTCTTACTTTACCCAGGCCACAGAGACAAGGCCCTGTTTCCAAGCATGACTGGTGGGCTCTGTCCTGCCAGAAGGGAAACTCTAACGGCGTGTGTGCTCTCCCCTTCTAGCTCTGTTGATGGGTGGGCTGACAGGTGGAGGCTGACCGCCATTGTAAGTATAGAAAACTCAGGGTCAAGGACAGCGTGTGCCTCCTTCCTAACAGTTCATCCAGATACACGGGACAAACCCAGAATCCAACCCAACCACGCTCCTCTTTCATTTCAGCCTCTCTTTTAGCCCATGTTTGAAGTGACTCGAGGCCCTAAGATGTCATCCATAGGTGACATGTGCAAACACAAGAGAAGCAATGGGTATTACACCTGTCTCTGATTTGGTCTCACCAAGCTCAAAGCAGCATGGGAGAAACTCAAGGACGGGGGGAGACCATTGGCCGTGAAATTGAGTTCAAACCAAGAGGGAAGGGCATAATGGAGAAGAACAAAAACCAAACCAAACAAAGAACAAAACAAGGATGAATAATGGTACAGACAGTATTATCAATCTATGCTATGAGAAGGTTGAGGGATGATGTTTAGGGCATTAACTCCTATAATATGGAGTAGTACCAGTTACCACAGAAATACACCACAGAAAATTAGAAAATTCTAAGTGCTCTGGCCCTGGGTACCAGCTGACCTGGTCCCTGACCCCCACTTCCTCATTAATGGTTGTTTAGCTAAGTGGCTGTGCCTCAGAGAACAAGACCTGAGGTTCTCAATCAGACAGGAAAGGGGCCACCTCTTGGGATCTACGCCAATACTTCAGCCAGGGGGACTTCGGACCCATGGTGACAAGGAACACCGAGAGAGCTGTAGAATAAAACTGTCCAGGATGGGCCAACATGATGCTGACCACCCATCCACTTCTAAAAGAGGAATACAGAAACAGAAAGGCTCAGAAAACGCAGATAACCCAAATTATCATCCTAAAATTGCATACACCACCTTCCACCCTGCTTTTCTCCAAGGCTTAGCACAGGAGAATATTCAAATGAGTGCTTTCTCTTCCAGTTACCCACCAACAACTAGGAAATGGGGTTTGCCCTTCCCCTCTGTCCTCCACCTCTATGGAGAATGGCTGAAGGCCAGTTCATAAACCTCTTTCTTGCAACCCTTCCAAGTCTACCCCGTCCCGTCTAAAGGCCTCCATGTTTCTATTCCCTCCTTCATTCAGTTTTATTCTGCAGACCTCACAAGGCGAAGAGACAAAGATGATTCATAGTGATTCGTGCACCACAGCTGCGATTCTACTTTGATGAGTGATCTTTAAACAGGAGGCCGCCAAGGCCCAAACGGGACTCATTGGAATTTGAAACAATTAGCTACAAAGATGGCCAAGTGGCCGAGCACGGAGCACGGCATGCAGGAGGACAGACGGACGGACAGACGGACACAGCATGCAGAGAGGAGCGTTGAGGCCTTACTTGTGCAAACTAGCGTCCAGGCAGGGTGGTGGTGAGGAGGGAGGGAGCGTTAGGAGAAACTCGGGTAAGTTCAAGTGCGCCAACAGTCAGTGATCACATCAAGCACATTCTATGACACTCCAAACCTCCGCCAGCCGGGGCCCCACCCACTAGACCCAGGAAATCTTCCTTCGCGCGGCACTGGGAGTAGTCAGTTCTACGACACAGGGAAAGCTGGGTCCTCTTCTACTGAGGCTTTCTTAATTTTCTCTGCTTAAGCCATGAGCAGAATGCTTTACTGACCCAAGGCAGGCTGTGGCCCAGGGGAGGGCATTCCATTTGGGAAATAGCTTTCCAAACATTGTTTTAACCAACCCAGGAGTGGCTGAAATGCATATTTTCCCATACTGTGAAGGGAAGGGCCGCTGTTTTCCTGTCCATTCCTGGTGAAGTAGTTTACATCCTGCTAAAATTGTTCTAAAGGAATATAAGAAAAATTGCGATCATCTGGAAAAAAAACAAACAAACCAAATCTCCTACTTCTTTCCTGCCCCACCTTTCCCACTATGGGAATCATAATACTTTAAGTTAAACTAGCAATCAAGGTCTGAAGAATATTATTTCCTTCCACAGTAACTTTTCCCCCTGGCGGTAGAGAAATCCGATAAAGGCCATTCTACATGAAATTCTTTAAAGGAACACCTGGAATTAAAGGCATGGTGGCGAATGCCTTTAATTCCAGCACTTGGGAAGCAGAGAAAAAGACAGGTGGATCTCTGAATTCCAGGCCAGCCTGGTCTACATAGGGAGTTCTAGGCCAGACAGGTGAAATAAGATACCTTGTCTCAAAAATAAAATAAAAAATAAATTAACATTTGCAGATCTCCCAAATTATTTACAACTTGGCCATACTGGTTGTCCCCAGAGAAGAGAACTGAGTGGCAGGCAGTGGTGGAGACTTTCTTACTACACAGCCTTAAATGTTTTTTTTTTTCTTCCATGCATGTATGACTTAATTTAAAAATAAATAGAATTAAAGTTGAAAACAGTCTGGAGATTCCAGCAGAAGACCTCAGGCTCAGCCCCAGGAGATGAAGTGGACGGCCCCCGGTCAGCACGCAGGCCCCACAGTCCCAGTTCTAGGGGGGTGAGGCCCATAGCTGCAGTGCTCCTGGGGTGCACATCTAGGTCAGGGTTATGAGCGGCAGCAGAGCCATTATGCAGCTCACTTCCCGAAAGCCGCCCTCCTAAGGCCCACGGGGACATGAAGGGGGGCAGAGACATTAGCTGACATCAGGACAGCTCTCCGGGCTCCTGAAGAGCTGCTGACGGTCTCCACATACACTCCTCCACCAAGTCAGCTGAGCCACGGTGAGGAGAGCAGCTTCACATCACCGGTGTTGACCACCCAGCTTCCTGGGTGATGCGCTGCTGGAAACCAGCTCTCTGGGTGTCCTCCCTCCACAGCCATTAGCTGCTGCATCAATAGGCTGCTCAGGCCCAGGGAGGAAAAGGGGCCAACGGGAGCTTCATATTTAGGCTCCACCATGCACATAACGGGGACCATCTTCTTGTTATTAAGAGCTACCTCTGTACCTCCAAAGAGAAAATGATGGTGCATTTGTTTGTTTGGAAACAGGGTTGCTGTGGTCCTGTCCATTTGCATCACAGTGAGTGAAAGGGAAAAGGGACAGAGTTCCATTCACCATCTCCCGACCAGGGCTTCCTTTTTTTTTATTTTCGAGACATGGTTTCTGTGTAGTTTTGGTGCCTGTCCTAGAACTCCCTCTGTAGACCAGGCTGGCCTCGAACTCAGAGATCCACCTGGCTCTGCCTCCCGAGTGCTGGGATTAAAGGCGTGCGCCATGTCGCCCAGTAAGGGCTTGATACTTTATGGGCAGGTTTTAAGCCATCTTTGATTGATGCAGGACAGGAATTCCTCATTATGTACTATGCTACTCTATGAGGACAGGGTTAACTAAGATACCTCTTGGAGTGACAGGTTTACATTTAAGTGTTTGGGCTATGACATTCTGCATTATCTCCAGATACTCAAGCTTGAGGGCGGAGGGAGAGGGGGACTGGCATGCCAGCAAACACAGAAGCCACGAGGAACACTGTTGAGAGAAGGGACAGGCAAGCCATCCCACAACGCAGGAAGCGTTCCCACAGGGGAAAACAAAATAAGTGAGTACGCCAAGCCATGTCATCGTAAGCCAGCCACCACCGCTGCCCAGAACTAACCAGCCCCACAGACACGGCCACAGGACTGACAGACACACAAACCGGGCCTGCTAACAATGTCCCCGTGGCTTTCTGGCCACACCTTCACTGAAATCTCACAGCATCACTGTGAGCCAGCTCAGCGTTCCTCGGAAATAAGAAAACAAGATCTACACCAGCTACTGCTGGGCCTTTGTCCCCACAGCACTATACTGACTTTTCTGTTCCTGCACTTCAGGTTTCTTCTCATGTTACCTGCATGTGTCCTAACTCTTCTAGTTCCTGTGTGCATGCAATTGCCACAGTGGTCAAGGGCTCCTTAGGGGGAGGGATATATGTCTCTTCCTCTGCACCGGGCAAAAATCAAAACAGAATGAACATATTCTATTAAATGATACAAAGTAATTCCCTTCCTGCTTAACACGTGTCCACATCAACTCCTCAGGGCTCACCGAACAAACCTAACATATTATGGTCTCTTCGCGCCGCTGATTATAAGATTTGGGCTTTTCCTCAAAATTACTTTGGGCTAACTTGGCCTCTATCTTTCTGAAGTCTCCAAGTCATTCGTTTATTAATGTCTACTGACAGTTCAAATTCCAGTGCTTGGCAAATACTAATGAGAAGGCACTGAGTGACATGTATTATAAAACAAAAAGCCCTACTTCAACCTTAAGCAATTTATTCATGTTCAAGCTTCCTAACTCAAAGCCTGGATTAGAACCCAGGGGCCTAATTAATCACTAACCCAGAATGTAACTGTTTTGAGATATCTCAAGTGTATTTAGAAAACCTAAGACTTGGGTTTCACTAGCAAGTCTAGCTAACCGTGGTCCCACTGGCTTGACCTGCCTTCCTGGCACTGTTCACTGGTGGCTTGCCAGTGCAGCAAGGCCCCTGAAAGCCCTGAGACCTGCGTACCACCCAGGCTGGGGTTGGCATACCCACTTATTGCTGTGGCTTGCTCTCCCTAGCTGAGGGGGTCGGGGGGAGAGGTCAGAGTCCAGAGGGATCCTGAGGCATCCGGTTGTCTTACCGCATCGAACTCTGCTTGATCGTCCTCAGGTAGGTCGCTGGTTTCATAAACATCTGGCTCGTTCCTGGCCTGCGGGTAGAAGCAGTGACCACCCAGTCTCACTCACTACCCCAGATTTTGCCTCTCGCCCCCACCCCACCCCACCCCACCCCACCCCACCCCGTTTCCTTTGAACAGGCTAAGGCAAAAAGCAGACTGGGATTCAAGGATTCTGTCGGTCTTCCGCTCCCCCTGCCCACAGTATATGTCAGCTCCCGTATCTCAGTGGGATAAATTCAGGTACAAACTGGGACCTGGGGTGATGATAAATAAATGACCAATGTGAAAAAGAGAGATGTTACCCTGGACATGGCTCAGAGGCCAGCCCTTGGTATAACTATTTTGTCCTAAGCAGCTGAAGGTCCCTGGAGTCAGGCCCTGCACTAACCACTTCCACGGCTACAAGGGTGGAGAGTGACTCAGGTCCTGTGCGCCAACCTCCCGACCCCGAGAATGCGGACGGAGCAGCAGCGCGCACGGAGCGTTAAATGCCGGCTCGTGCAGGGGGGGCAGGCACCGCTGCTCCCGAGGGGCAGAGCTCCCCACGGGCCGCAAGGAGCTCAGTGCGACCGTGACCTCCTCCCTCCCTGGCGAGACGAAGGCCACCATCAAGTGGCCTAGTGAGCTAGCTAGGACTGGAGGAAGGATGCGCGCGGGGGAAGGGGGGGACGGGCAATCGGGGCATTGGGGGACGACAAGGGCAGGGTTGACACGGGCGGCACACACACTCGGGCGCAAGTGGCAAGCGCCCGGAGGCGATCTCTGGGCGGAGGAACCGGCTACTGCCAGAAAAGGGGGGGCCAAGACGCCGAGTCCAAAGGCCCGGCCCGGCCCGGTCGGGTCGGCCGTCCAGCAGGCGCTGCAGCCGTGGATGGGCGAGCGGCGGGAACCCTCGGGGCGGAGAAGGGGCGGCCAGCGGGAGGGGTCGCGGGCTGGCTTCTGCTGGGGGTGGGGGGGTCCTCGGGAGGTCGGGGGCGCGGTCTGGGGAGCCGGGCCGGGCCCTGTACTCACAATGCCGGGGAGGTCGGCGTACTTAGGGTCCGCCATGGCGGCGGCGAGGCGGGGCTGGGGGGCCGGTGAGCGGGTTGGGCGGGGGGGGGGAAGAGGCTGGGTCCGGGTCCCCGGCTCGGGCGGCGGTAGAGGGAGCGGCGGAGGAGCGGGAAGTCTCGCGACAGGAGCAGCGGCCCGGCAGAAGCGGGAGGGGGGGGACGGACGACAAGCAGAAGTCGCGAGGACGAGGCGGCCGCCACACCCCTGGAGCGGCTGGGATTGGTGGGAGCGACGGAGAATGAGGTCATGGCCAGGGGACGCCGCCTAGCATTGTGGGATTTGTAGTTCTGGCCCGCTGGGGCTGGGAGCGACAATAACATACACACCTTAGGGAGCTATTTCATGCAATTTACTTTCTTTCTTTTTTAAATAGTCCGTGAAAGGGGGTTGCATAATTCCTATGTTCGAACATCTAGGAAGGAGGGGCTAGATGAAATCAACAACAGCTCGGTCGCGTTGTGAATAACAGTAAGGTTTAGTAAAAATGTTTTTTTTTTTTTGTTTTGTTTTGGTTTGGGGTTTCTTGTTTGTTTGTTTGTTTTTTTGTTTTTTGAGACAAGGTTTCTCTGTGTAGTTTTGGTGCCTGTCCGGGATCTCACTCTGTAGACCAGGCTGACTTCGAAGATTTAGTAGAAATGTAAGGAATGGAAAAGTTAAGCGGCCTTTTCAGATTAGGGCTGCCGGACAAAATAGAGGGCTCCGGGTTGAATTTTAATTTCAGGAGCTGGAGAGATGTTTTCAGCGGTGAAGAGCACTGGCTGCTCTCGCTGGACCCGGGTTTGATTCCCAGCACCCAGATGGTGACTCAGCCATTTATAGCTCCAGTTCCAGGTGATCCAGTGCTCTCTTCTGACCTCTGAGGGCACCAGACACACTCGTGGTACACAGACAGAGATGCAGGCAAAACCCCATATACATAAAATGCATAATAATAAAAAATATTTTAAAGTGAATTTCAGGTAAACAACTAGCAATTTTTAGTATAAAAGCATGCATCTTATTATATTTGTGATAGACATATAGTAATCTGAAATTCAAATGTTATCTGGGTATGCTATTTATGGATCTTTTTTTTTTTTTTCCAAAACTTGGAAATCTAAGTGATGGCTCCAAGTCTGACTGAACACTCCATGGTGGTTATCATCTCATCAATAGTCCACAGAAATTAGGAGGAAGGAATTCACACAGGGTCTCAAAATGTAGCCCAGGGTGGCCTGGAACTCACTTTTCAGTGCTGGGTATTGAACTCAGGGCTTTGCACATAGTATTTTGTGTCCAGACTAACAACAAACCCTTCTGGAGAATAGACATAGTATAGGTGCTCTTTTCACTTTCCCAAGTAAATATAGGATAATAGAAACCCTAATTTAATTTATTGAATTTATCTATTTGTGTGCGCGCGCATTTGAGTGCCTATACATGAGATTGGAGGTCAGAGGACAACTGTTACTTGTCTGTTTTCTCTTCCCACCGTGAGGGACCTGGGGATCAAACTCCGGCCATGGTTTGTTGGCAAGCCCCTGTACCTGCCCAGGCATCTCACTGACCCATTTTTAAAACACAAGAGAAGCTGGGCATAGTGGTGCTTGCCTTTTATCCCAGTACTTGGGAGGCAGAGACAACCAGAGCTACACAGAAACCCTGTCTCGAGACAACAGCCGAAGAGGAGGAGAAGGACGGACAAACAGATACAAAGCTTACTGTGTACTGTGTACTGTTGCCATCGTTATCTGGTAGAGAAATACAAAGACATACCCAGGATAAAAAGAAGTTCTCAAGCCAGACATGGTGGTGCTCACACATACTCCCAGCGCTTGGGAGCTTGAGGCAGGAGGAATGCAAGAACAGCCTGGACTACACACATACCAAGTTTCAGGCTAGCCTGAGCTACATAGAGAGGACCCCACCCCCGCCCCATCTCAAAAATTAAAAGAAAGTTCTTTGAAGATTGATGCAGCTATATAAGAACTTATGGGGGGGGGATATGCGTACTCACTGAACTTGTCTCTGACCAGGGAGCCTCCTTTTTGGTTTTTCGAGGCAGGCTTTCTCTGTATAGCTTTGGTGCCTTTCCTGGAACTCACTCAGTAGCCCAGGCTGGCCTCGAACTCACAGAGATTTGTCTGCCTCTGACTCCCGAGTGCTGGGATTAAAGGCATGTGCCACCACCACCCGGCTGGACTGACATTTTTTTCTTTTTCCTTTTTTTCTTTTTTTTTTAAAGAAGAGAGGAAGAGAGGTCAAGGCGTACACACATGGAGGGAGGGAGGAGAGGGGGAAGGGGGAGAGAGAGAGAGAGAGAGAGAGAGAGAGAGAGAGAGAGAGAGAGAGCGAGCCTGGCAAGGGCAGGATCAGAATATTAACAATGTATGGTTGCAGGCCACAAACAGGCAGATCTCATTACAGATGGTTGTGAGCCACCAAGTGGGTGCTGGGAATTGACCTCAGGACCTCTGGAAGAACAGCCAGTGCTCTTAGCCATCTCTCCAGCCCCTGGACTGGCATTTTTAAAACCATTTCACTAAGGATGCCACTTTTTTTGCTTCTAGAGGCTGGATGTTGGTATATTTCCTGAGCTGTCCAGATGCTGCAACCCTCAGAAATAGTGCCAGACAAGGGACTGCAGAGTTCCTGAGTTAGGACTCATCGTCCGTCATTCTCGTTCCTGGCTTGTGCCCAAGCCTCGGCCTCTGTCGCCATGATCCCGAACTCTCCTATGCAGCCTCTGACTCCTTTTCTTCGGTTCCCCTGAGAGTCAGAGTGTCTGATGGTGGAGGCCCAGCTCAGGTGGTTCCTGGCGGGGGAGGGTTTGTTTGTCCAGGCCACTCGCCTCGCTCCTGCCCCATAGTGCCTAACTGACCCTAGACACTGGCCCATTTCTGAGCAAAGGCCTCCACACCCTCCTGCCTTCTCCCATCACCCCGCTCCTCCTCTTGGCTAAAACCTCAAGTCCCGCAGCCTCCTTCTCGGTTGGCGAGCGGAGGCTGTGACATTGAGCAAAATCAATTTGGCCGGCTCTGGACGTTTCTGTTCAGGGGCTGCAGTGGAGCTTGACCCGATGGGAGGAAGGACAAGAGCTCTCTGGGCCTGGCTTTTTCTTTTCTTTTCTTTTTCTTTTCTGACCAGGAAACTGGGAGAAGAAAAGACTGGCCTGAGAAGGGGACTGGGTTGTTGGGAGTCTACCCAAAGGGAAGCAGGACAGTAAATACACACAGATACCTAAGCCCTGTCTGAGACCCAAGTGTAGCTGCTTGCCCTGGAAGATCCTCACACAGTACCTCTCACCTTTTGTTCTCCTGATCACCCTTCCCTCGGGCTTTTAGACTCCCTTTCTCTTGCAAAAGCTACCCCTGCCAGTTTGTATCCCAGCCCCAACCTCAAAGGCATCATTGAGGACTCCATCTGCCTGTGGATGCTGATGGCCCAGAAGATAGTTTTGGCTTCACTCTATTTGGGGACCTGATTATCACCAGACGGTGGCACTTTCTGTGAAGAAAGGGAAGGGAGTAAACTAGACCTTCCAGCCAAGGCATGGGACCTGGACACCATTTCCCCAGACGCACGCCCAGGAAGCCTGGGAAGCCTGGCTGGCTCCTGTGTACATCTGGGCAGCGGGAAAGAGGCTGGGGGGGTGGGGATGGGGCGATGACAGGTGTGATTTAAATATGGAAAGAGGACTGTAATGGGTCTGGGGGGGGGGGGATGCTCTGGAATAAAGGGCGTGGAAGGCCTGCTGGTGCTCTTCCCCAGGCAGACCACAGGTCCACCTTAGTCTCCTTATCCGTTCCTGTAGGTGGGGTCTGAGAAGGAGCACACGGGGTCGCCTGCCGCGGGGGGGAGTTGTGCAGGGACGGGGTGAGGAGGACCTGGTTGTCCGCGGTCCTTAAGGACCGAGGAACCAGGTGAGCCAAACTCCACCTTTGGGTGGTCGCTGTCCAGCGTGGATCACCCCCTGCGAAGGAAACCCCGCCCCCGCTGCTCCTGCGCGCCCCGCCCAGGCCCGCAGCGCGGCTGCAGCGCGAGGGGCGGAGAGGCACAGCGCGCCGAGAGGACCAGACGCCCAGGTCGCCCGCATCCACTGCCGCAGGAGACCCAGAGCGCGCCTTCGCCCGGGCGTCCCGGCTGCTTCCTTGGCCCCCGCGACCGATCGCCTGCCCTCCGCCTCGACCCCGGCTCAGCGCTCCCTCCCTCCGGAGCCCACGCTACACCCCGTGCAAGCCCCAAGACCTGCCCCCCAGCCCCTCGTCGGCGACCACCATGGCGGAGACCAACAACGAATGCAGCATCAAGGTGCTTTGCCGATTTCGGCCCCTGAACCAGGCGGAGATTCTGCGGGGGGACAAGTTCATCCCCATTTTCCAAGGGGACGACAGCGTCATTATTGGGGTGAGTGCTGCCTGCATCCGGAGGAAATTAGAGGAGGGGGGGGGGATGCCGGCATCTTTTCACCTTCCAGACTTAGCCCCTTACGCCTGCCATTCTGCAGCAGCGGCTCCGGGCTGCTCACCCTCCATCCGCCGCAGCCCCTCCTTCTCTCCCCTGCATCAGGATGGCTGGGTGTGGCCTGCCTAGGCCGGCAGCCAAGTCTCTGCGGAGTGGGAGGGGGCTCCTTCCTCGTCATCGGGAGCCCCAACTTGTCTTTGCCACTCTCTTGGAATGTTCCCACCCCTTAGAGCCAGTTCCCTGCTTTGGGAATGTTTTCCCTCCCAACCCCCCTCTCCCCCACCCCACCCCCCGCGGGAGAAAGCGCGTTTTCCCTTTGTTATTGGCTGGCATCTCTACCCTAAGCTCCACCAAAGGAGGGGAGATTAGTGGGTGGGCTAGATCAGAAATGGGAAGTCTAGGGTCTCCATGGAGGAATGACTGGGAGTGGATTCTAGGACCAGCCCTTCATCATCACCTGAAGTCGTCGCTGCCTGGACTTGGGGGGGAGCGGGGGAGGGTACAGGTCTGATGAACGGTTTTCTGGGAAAGAAACACATCGATGCCACACCCAATCGAGGAGGTAGCCTCTAGAACCCTAAGGACCCGTCTGCCTTTCTATCCCAGGTATAGTGTCAAGAGAATTTCAGACTCCCCAAACCCTGAGCTCATTCATACTTGCTTGTTCGTCTCAATCTTGAAGATCCAATAAGATGTAGTAGTTGACTGCTACCTCATCATGGCGGCCCTTCTCCGTGGAAATCTTCAGGAGCATTAATACTTACGGTGTACTTGGTAGTCTGTGTTTAGTGCTGAATTCTCAAAACTAGTCTGAAGTAGTGTTCATATTTCCATTTTACAGATTAGGAGATTGAGGCCCAAGGAAGTTGAGTGACTTTCTCAAGGTCATGCTGAGAACCCATGGCTAAGTCTACAGAACTGGACTCAAGTCTGTGATTCCAAAACTCTCATGATTTCCCTTTGTGCCTTTCACCTTTGCCTCCCCAAATTTCTGCTCCAGACCATTGTCTGTGATGGCCTAAAGGGACTTCAGGCTGTGAGTGGGGTGAGAGGCTCTGGGGCTGAGCTCTGCAGGGTTTTTCAGGGTCCTGAGCCAAGAAACCGGGGCTGGTTTGGGAAGGGAGGGGGATCCATGAGGGCACTCTCCAAGGTCAGGGTGGTTCTTCTGCATCTTAGTCCACGGTGCTGGGCGTAACGCAACCAGAAGGGCGACAGACACCTGGACCTTCTGAGTTCGGGAAAAACATGTTTCTGAGGAGGCCCCAAGCTCCTACGCTAGCCTGTCATCCTGTCATCACACAGTGAGCTCAGCTGGCCACTTTTGCTGCAGGAGGGCACTCTGTTTGTTTTGCCTTAGGGACCTAGGCTTTGTTTGGTCAATGTGGCCAGGTTAAAAGAAAGCCCTGATCAACTCTGGGGATCTCTCTCTCTGAGTAACCTGGCCAGCAGGCTTTGGGGGGGGGGGCTTTGCACTCTGAGGCCCCTTTAAGTTGTAAAGACTGAACGACAGGAGGGGGTGGTCCTGGGAAGCAAATGCACTAAGGGCATCGACTTGAAAGCTGACTTCATTGTTGCGGGTTTATCCATTATACAAAGATGGACTCCTTAGGTACTGTGGGCCATCTTGGTGTGTAGGGTGGGGTCCTGGCCTGTGCTGTCGGGAGGAAGGGTTGAGGAGATCATCTGTCCACGTAGTCCAGCGAAACAGGAAAGACACCGGGAATGGGGAGAGAGTCAGGCGAAAAGAAGTCCGTGGTCCCCTGGTAATGCAGATTCTAGCTCAGCTCTGCAGCTGGCCTCCTCGCTGGCCTGCTGATGCTGGTGGGGCTGCACCTTTGTCTCATTCTGAACCCCCCCTTGTCCAAGCCCTCCCGCTAGCCTCTTACTCAAGACCTACGTTCTCACGGGGGGGGGGGGGCATTTTGTCTGAGGCAGCCTACCAAGAGCTGCTGGCCTTCTGGACTTGAGTTCTTCACCCTGCCGAAGGATGGTTTATCGGGGAGAGGATTCCGAGGAGGCCCTTGGAGGTTCCAGTCAGGCAATGGCAACTCCCGCCCCTTATTTTCTCCCCTAGCTCTCTTTGGGAGCCAGGGTGTGGGGAGCAGCCCGGAGATCAGTGGAAGAAGCCACTTCGGAGTGTCTGGGAAGGTGAGGGAAGGCAAGCCGGGTTGGCTGTGAGAGGATCACTCCCGAAGCCAGCGGCCTCTGCCCGCTCCTGTGCGGTCTCCCTTCTCCTCTCAGCACTCCAGCTTGCCCTGGGCTTGCTTGCCCTGGGCTTCCGGGGCCCTTCTGTCCCTGGGCTGCTTCGGCTTGCGGACGGACGGTAGAGCCGCAAGATGGAGACAGTCCCTTGGGCCTTGTCTTTGCCCCGACTCTGTGACTTCTCTGGGGAACCTCGAGGGTGGGATTCGAGAGTCAGCAGCCTGAGTCGCAGTAGGAGGGTGCCTGGGGTGCGGCCTCTCTGTGCTCTTCTGCCTTGTTTTGCTCTCTTCACACTTAGAATCCAGTCTGACTTTTTTTTTTTTTCACCTGAACTCATTTAGGTGTCTCTCTGGCTTTTCTGGTCTTTGTTCCAGCCTGGGCCACTGCCAGATGTGGGGGGAGGGGAGAGGGTGACGGCAAGGGATCAATCAGTTTCAATCAAAATCTCTCTCTCTCTCCTTTTCAACTGTCCAAAGCTTCTTTCCTCTGGCCTCCCAAAAGTTAGGTGAATTCTGTGTTCTGTTTGTTTGTTTTGTTTTTTGAGACAGGGTTTCTCTTTGTAGCCTTGACTCTCCTGGATCTCACTCTGTAGACCAGGCTGCCCTCAAACTCAGAGACCCGCCTGCCTCTGCCTCCGGAGTGCTGGGATTAAAGGCGTGTGGCTTGTTTGTATTTTTTTTAAATGACATTATTTATTTTGTGCCTGTGATGTGGTGGTGGCTGTGATTATACCACAACACATGTCGGTGTCCCGTCCCGTCCTGTGTCCCCCCCCCCCCCTCCGTCATTCCTGGGGGTTGAACTAACACCAGTCCTGGCAGCACCGTCACCCACTGAATCATCTCCCTGACCCGGTTCTGGTTTGGTTTTGGTTTTGCGACAGGCCTTCCTATGTGTCTCAGGATGGCCTGAGACTCTAGGTATATTCCAGGCTGGACTCAGGCTCTCCATCCTGTCTCAGCCTCCTGAGCGCTGAGATTGCAGGCAGGTACCACCATCATGACTTTGAGGGTCCTGTGGTCTCTGAAGGGAAAGCAAGGATCTCTTTAGCTGTGAGGGGAGGGTCATGAAGGAAAATGGAGAGCTGAGGCAATGTTCACCGTGGCTAGTGTCTCTCTCAAGCATTGCCATGGCAACAATACCCAGGGGTGTCACTACAGAATAGGGCTTCAAGTTTGGGTTCTACCAGATGCTTTCTTGACGACTGAACAGGTCTTGGAAGCCCTAATCTTGTGCTCCCCATGAGCATCAAATAGCACATGTGATGGGAATCCATAGCGAGGTGCTGGGACCTCTCCTGGGCCGGCTGATGAAGGCAGGCTCAGAGTGGGTTCCGAGACAGCATGGAGCCCTGGCTGTGGGACTTTGCAGGGAGAAAAGCCCTGGGGAAGGCTAGGAGGAGCCTGCAGGGCTGGGAGAGAGCAGCTCAGAGGTGGAGAGACTTCCGCAGGGGTATTTCTAACGGAGTGGGTATTTGGCGTCGGAGGCTTTGCTGTGAGCCGAGTGTGCAGTTACCTGGAGGAGGAGAGGGGGAAAAGGCGCTCTGAAAGGATTCGGGGGAGAAGCGCTTCTGAAATGGGGTTGAGGTTGGACAAGGGGGTGAGGGAAGGCTCCAGGTCTACTTGGAAACACTTTGAGAAATACAGACCGGGAGAGCCGGAGGCAGTAAAGGCGGAGCCATGCGGAGGATCCGACGTGGGGATGACGTTTGCAGTTCCTTGTCCACTTTGGGTACGGGTGGCAGTGGTGGCGCATGACATTGATCCCAGCACTCGGAGGCAGAGGCAGGTGGATCTCTGTGAGTTTGATGACAGCCTGGTCTACAGAGTGAGATCCAGGACAGGCTCCAAAACTACACAGGGAAACCCCATCTCGAAAAAAACCATAATAATAATAATAATAACTCCTAGGATTATCAAATAATACCTCCTAGGATCATCATATCCATTATTTTTAAATTTTTATTTGGGGAGTGGGAGTATATGTAGTATATGTATGTGTATGTACAAATATGTGTGTGAGTGAGCGAGCTTGCACATTTGTCCACACACAGAGGCCAAAGGAGGACAGCTGTGTCTTCCTCTGTTGCAGGCCACCTATTCCCTTGAGACAGTCTCTTCCTGAACCTAAAGCCTACCATCAAGGCTAGGCTGGTGGCCAGTGATGCCGGGGGATCCACCTGTCTCTGATTACCAAGGGCACAGGCACACACACACACACACACACACACACACACACACACACACACGGCCACGCCCAGGTTTTCTGTGGGTGCCAGAGCCATGAACTCAGGTCACTGCACAGCAAGTGACCTTCCTGAGTCACTCCCCAGCCTCTGTTCCTATCTTATTTTAAAATCACGCTGACTTACTCGCGGGGCGGGGCACACATGCCAGAGCACACCAGCGCAGGTCAGAGGACATCTGCGGCTCTTTCCTTCCACCAGGTGAGTCCTGCACATGGAACTCAGGCCTGGCCGCAGACGCCTTGATCCGCTGAGCCGTCCCACCAGCCCCTGTTCCTTATTTTTTGAAACAGCTTTGTACTGTGTGTCCCTGGCCGGCCTTTTAACTCACTGTGTAGTTAAACCAGGGTGGTTCAAGTCCCAACTTCATGCATTAGCCTCTTGAGTGGTATTGCAGGTGTGTACCCCTGTGCCCCAAATAAACTCCTGATAACAGTTAAAAGTTAGCCGAACACACCCCGTGGTACACACCCTGTGAGTCCTAGCACAGGCAGGA